CAAATGAACTTACAAATCCAATCATGGGCAGATTCCAAGCAGTGGCCAACTTAGCCTCGTACGAGCAGCTTACCTCGGGCCCAATGAATGCAGAGACATTCTGCCAGATGAACTCCGTCTCGATCTTCAGGGTTGAATTCTGCCCAATGTTGGCAGTCAGTGGGTGAATAACGTAGTTTATACTCTTCAGGATCTCCGTGTTTGATTTGTTGACGGCATAACTGAAAGCTCCAGGAAAATCTATATGCTTTAGACCTCTGGGGTTTGTTGTGTAGAGAAACCCCAGTTTGATTATCGTTTTTGGTGGGGAAGTTTGTGATGGTGATAATAATGATGATGATGAGGATGAAGATGATGAGGGAGAGGATGAAGATGATGAGGAGGATGATGGGTTTGATGCAGATGATGATGATGGTGATGACGGTGGTGGCGTGTTGGATGCAGAGGTTTGTAAATTGTTGTTTGATGATGGAGTTTTTGGCTTTGCGGAATTCAGTTTGGTTAGAGGCAGCTGGTAACGACGCTGGCGATGATGAGGATGAAGTTGTTGTTGTTGTTGGTGTTGTTGATGAGGTTGTTGTTGTTGTTGGAAGTAGTTGTTTTGTTGAAATTTAAATATAGACGGCATGGCCGGCGTGCTAAAGTCAACTAGTTTTTCATGGTTTTGTAGTTGATGTTGATGATGATAGTGATTGTTGTTGTTGTTGTTGTTGTTGTTGTCGTCGTTGTTGTTGTTGTTGATGTTGTTTGTAGTTTCGTTGTTGTCGTTGTTGTTGTTGCTGCTGCTGTTGTTGTTGATGTTGATGTCATTTAAAGAATCTACGTTATAAACTCTGATGTCAGATTTAATGATAGAACTATTACTCCTTAAAACTGCATTGGTAGCATTAGTAGAAGTAATACTAAAATGACTCTTTGTCGTAAGAATCGTTAGAACCATCTTTGATGTATTAGGAATAGTTGAAGTAGTAGTAGTAGTAGAAGCAGTGGCGACAACCGTAACAACAGCAGCAGCAGTTGTAGTAGCAATAGTACGAGTAGAAGTTGCAGTTTCAAAAGCAGTGGTGGTAGTAGTAGAAGTAGCCGTGATAGTAGTAAAAGTTGTAGTAGAAGTATACTTATTATTATAATGTGTTTTGCTGATGCTAAGTGTGTTGATTGTTTTGACTTTGTTGTTGTTGTTGTTTATGTTGTTGTTGTGATTTTTGTTGTTGTTGTTGTTGTTGTTGTTGTTGTTGTTGGGTTGTTGATAAATGTCATCAACATCGTCCGCCAGCATGTATATGAGCAGTGCGAAACACACAATCAATACTATGATGCTTGCCGAAAAGATTAACGTTCTAGCTAACAACATTGTTGCAGCTGTTGATGTTGCAGCTGTTGATGTTGCAGCTGTTGATGATAATGATGTCGCTGTTGTGGTAGCTGCTGTGGCTGCCGCTGACGATGATGACAACGATGACGGTCAAAAAATAATTACAATAATGATGACGACCGTATACGTAAAAAAATGCGCTCAATGTGTTGACACAACATTCTTAAGAGGTATGAACAAATTTCCTTTATATAGTCTTGCTACCACTACTACTACTACTACTACTGCTACTTCTGCTACTACTACTACTGCCGCTGCTGCTTCTATTACTACTGCTGCTGCAGTAGCTACTGCTACCACTACTTCTGCTACTGTAGCTACTACTATTACTAAAAATACTATTATTGATGGTTTTGATAATAGTTACGAGAAATATTTACAATTAAGCGTTTTTTTTAAAGCCAGTGAAACAAGAAAATTTTAGTTAGCAAGGGCAAAACTTGTCATCTTATCAATTAGTTGAGGAATAAATCAGAAATGACGTCACGAAAAGGATGGTGATGATGATGATGATTATGATTTTGTCGTTGTTGTTGATGATGATGAGTTGTCGTTGTTGTTGTTGATGTTGATAAAAATCGTCATGTTGATTATTGATTATGATGATAGTGGAAAGAACAACAACAACTTTAATAATAATAATAATAATATTGTTATTATTATTTATTGTTATTTAATATTATTAAAATTATTAATATTTATCACTTCAATAAATAATTAACTATAATAATTAATATTATCACCCTCATCCCATAAATAAAATTCCCAAATTATAACCAAGTGAAAACGGATTTCAGCAAAGTATGTTTGTATGTATGTTTGTTTCTTTGTATGTACGTATAGATGTATGCATGTACGTATGTATGTATGTTTATATGTTTGTATGTATGTAAGTAAGTATGTATGTATATATGTATGCATGTATGTATATATACTTTAAAACAGTTGAATGTTCTTTCAAATTTAAATTGAAAATTTTTCAAACTTTGATTCGTTAAGCTTGAGTTATAAGTTTTGTGTTGGAGAATAATAATGAACTTGAAAAACATATTAATATTTATCATAATAATATAATAATAGTAATAATAAATTATAAATAATATTAAATTACATTAAATATCACAAATATTAACATTAATCGTCATCGAAGTTAGCTTGATATCATCAATTAAACTTAAGGTTCCGAGGACATTTGCTAAGGTACCTTTAAATGGTTCTTTAAAGTCAATCATAATAATGTTATTATTTAATTATGATATAAATTATATTTGCGAATAATAATAATGAGTAATAAAAATAATAACACATTTTTTAACGAGCCCCACAGTTACTATCAACCCGCCAATTAAGACCATTCAACATGGTAGTAAATTAATCAATCACAGTGTCGTTTCGTCTCGTCTTATTTCGTTTCGAAATAACATACATAAATACACACACACACATACATACAAACCAACATACTTACACATACATACAAACCAACATACTTACACACATACATACATATGTTCGTACGTATATACATAAATACAAACACAATACATAAATACGTCATCTTTATATCGACCAATGATGCTTAAAACATAGATATTACAAAAAGCTCGTGACAATATTTTAGTTCTTTGTAAATTTTGTAATATATCTTTGTTTTTGTTAGTTTTCAAACAAGCGATAATATAGCGTGTTCAGGAGACGATATCTGACTTTAATTTCTTTGTAGTTGACATTAAGGGATTATTAGCTTCATAATTTTATGTCTTTGAGGGCGCGTTTTCAATTTTATAACATCATCATCAACAACAATAATAATTATAATTATCATTATAATTATTATTGTTATTATTATTTTTAATTATTTTATAGTTATAATTTCAGAGTTAATATGGCAGAACCAAGCCAGTTTCAAAGTAGAAACATTGAAGCCGATGAGCATAGTAACAACTATCAATATAATAATAATAATAATAATAATAATAATAATAATAATAATAATAATAATAATAATAATAATAATAATAATAATGATACTACCACTACTACTATTATTACTACTACTACTGCTGCTACTACTCTAGCTACTGCTACAACTACTACTACAACTACTACTAATGGTAAAAATATCGCCGACAATATACCATCGGAGCCATTAAATTTAAGCAAAAGTTTTGAACATCTAACTAATTTTGATGACAACGACAACGACAATGATGATGATGAAGATGATGAAGAAAAAGAAGTAGAGGGGGATAATGATGATGATAATGACGTAATCAAACTCATTGACACTTCGGGTTTAGTTAGATGTGAAGCATTCGACATCGGCCAAAATTTCATTCCGAGGTTTTCCAAAATAGGCGATGGTGAACACAAAATGATTGATGTAGTTGGCGATGATGATGATAGTAACGATGATGATGACGGTGTTGGTAATGTTGATTGTGATGAAATAAACTTTGAAGAAGAAGAAGAAGAAGATGATGATGATAAAATGATCATAGGTAACGATTGTAAGGATAGAAATGACCGTAAAGGCAATAGTTGCCACCAAACAGTCAGCAACATCAACAAGTATAACGCCAACAATAACAACAATCACAACAAATACAACATCAACAACAACAACAACAACTACGACAACAACGACAACAACAACATCAACAACAACATCAACATTAAAAACATCATCAACAACAACAATATCATCAACAATAACAACATCATCAACAAACACAACATCAACATCAACAACCACAACATCAACAACAACAACATCATCAACAACACTCATCCAATGATTCAAAATTATTATTATGAACGCCTCCGCCAACAATTTTTATTTCTGCAAAATGTTGAGAGAAATAAACTAATAATTGCTCAACATTTAAGTCAAAGATTCCACTATTATCAAAACTTTTTCCAACAACAACAGCAGCAACAACAACAACATCATCATCATCATCAACAACAACAACAACAACAGCAACAACATCAAAAACTTTATCAGTATTGCTATGGACAACAACAACAACAGCAGCAGCAACAACATCATCATCTATACTTCAACAGCGCGAAACCCAACTCAGGTAAAACTTATAGAAGCACATTAATGATTTCAAAAAACAACAACAACAACAGTAACAACAACAGCAGCTGCAGCAAAAACAACAACAGAAATGATTTTAAAAGTATATACAATAAGGATTTCAATTTGACACGAAAGATGGCAGACCAATCGGCGAAACTCAACAAACAGCCATCAGATTTTCAATCGATTTTTTTGAAATCTCAAAATCTAAAATCGAGTTCCCAATACGGAACTAATCTCGCGAGTAAACAAAAGCAACAGCATCAACAACATCAACTACATCAACAACAACAACAACAACAACATCAACAACAACAACAGCAACCAACAACAAGACGTTTTCATGATTATTTGGGCGATTTTGTGTGCAAACTTTGTGGCGAAAAATTCAACACCTCCTTCGAGCTGGCCAACCACAATTGTTGCAAAATCAAAAAAGTTAGATACCAGTGCGATGAATGCGAGAAGGTTTTTAACTGTCCTGCTAATCTGGCTTCCCATAAAAGATGGCATCGGCCTAAACTCACTGTTAAATGAATTATTGGGTGAATTGATGAATGAGTGATTGGGTGGATAAATGAATTGATGAATCAATGAGTGATTAGATGGATTGATGGATGGATGAGTGAATGAATGAATTAATAAATGAAGGAATGAATGAATGAAAATGCAAGCATGTCCACCAGAGAAAAAATGATTAATTAACACAACAAAATTTGAAAAAAATTTATTTTTTTTAGAGAAAAAATTGTTTCTTAAAAAAAAAGAGAAGAACATTAAAAAATAATTAATTTTCATCATTCACGTGTTATTAAGTTGTTACACACACACACACGCACACACAAACTCAGATGGAAAATAATTTATTATCCCTGACTCCTTTTTGTACCGTAACGCTATCTGAGTCAAACAATGGAGTAACTATATACGTACATACATACAAACAAACATACAAACATACTTACATACATACATACAAACATACATACATACATGCAAACATACATACACGGATGTTATTGTTTTTGTTGTGAATTTCATTAAACAAACAGAAAGTAAAATTTTTAAATTAATTTAATGGAATTTAAAAGAAAGTATAATTTTTTGAAAAAGATAAATCAGAAGCGAGAACAATAACAGTACTGATACTGCCACTACTACTACTACTGCTACTACTACTAATACTACTGCTACTACTACTAATACTACTACTACTACTACTACTACTGCTGCTGCTGCTACTGCTGCTGCTACTGCTGCTGCTACTGCTACTACTACTACTGTGGCGATAAAGTTGTTGTAACAATGAAAAAGAACGAAAACATTAAAATAGGAATTTTAACAAGGACGAAAATAACATTAATAACAATAACAATAATAATAATAATAAGAGGAAGAAGAAGAAGAATAATAATAATAATAACTACAATAACAATAAAAGTATAAATTCTGCAATATAAAATATAAATACGTACATGTGAATATTTTAATAATGGAAGATGAATGGAAGGAGGAATGACAATGAAAATCGCATGTTGCTATTGGCGAATAAAAAACATACATACAAACATACAAACACAAACATACATACGTACGTACATACATACAAACAAACATACATACATACATACATACATACATACATACATACATACACACATACATACATACATACATACATACATACATACATACACACATACATACATACATACATACATACATACATACATACATACATACACACATACATACATACATACATACATACATACTTACACACATACATACATACATACATACATACATACATACATACATACATACATACATACATACATACATACATACATACATACATACATACTTACATACATACATACATACATACATACAAACGTTTAAGTTTTTGCACCAGAGGTTATCACATTTCAGCGAAAAAAATTCCTTTAAATAAATAACAACAATAATAATAACAATAATAAAAACCATTTCAAATATTATTGTTGTTGTTGTTGCTGTTGTTTTTTAATTAAAAAAAATAGTGAAGATATGCATGTCACCAAAGAAACAACGAGGTAAACAACTAGATGATGAGGAGGAAGACGACAACGTCATCAACAACATCAACAACAACAACAATAATAATAATAATAATATAATACAATACAATAATATAATTTATTATTAAATATAACAATTATAATACTATTAAAAATGGCGCCAAACCTTTGGAATTATAATCATTAATAACTTTACGCTAGAATTATTACTCTGTTTTTTTGCCAGGTCAAGCTTAACGTATTGTTATACTGCTCGTTCTAAAGTAATGAGATGACTTTAATTAACGACTTACGTGTGTTGAGTATTAGTTAGTGTTTAAAATGTCATAAGGTTTAATAATCGAAATCGAACGAGAAACCACTCACCCATTATTGTTAATAATATTTTATATTGTTTAATATTATAACAAAAGTTAAATTGTAAAATTGATAAACGCTATTAAGAATAACTTAAAGATTATCAAAGGGAGTGTTCAGTTGTTTCGGATTGTGTTGAGCCTTAGAAGCGTTTTAGAGATTACTAAGATAACTCTCAACTTAACTAAGATATCTCCGCTTAACTCGTGTGGTCGCCTATTATATACCAGGAAACCATGCTCCCTAGAGCTTAACTAGTTGTCTAACTCTTTCAAACCGGTCAGTTGCTTACCTACTTCAACACTTATCTATATACAACCTATAATCACTTATACCTCCTAAGCTAAATTATTATCTACATAATAGTGTTTAAATGTGTTTGTGTGTATGTATTATTCATTTGTTAAGAGCATGTTGTTAGCGCTAATTAAAACTGCATCATGGGCACTCGCATTAAAAAACAAATGTACGTACTGACTATATATGAAAAACAAAAATTAAGAAATGAAGAAATGAAAAACAAAAATTAAGAAATTAAAAACAAAAATTAAGAAAGTCACAATTTTCACAGTTTAACAGAGAAGTGAAATGTTTTCAACTCTTTCTTAAATGATTCCAATGAAAGTTCAGAGGTCTTCTGAACGCCGATGGAAGACTACTCCAAACAGTGGAACCAGCAACTGCAATGTCTCCTGAACCAATCAGCAGACGTGTGACTGGCAGAGACAACAAATTCAGATCATCCGACCTGAGATGAAAAGTCGATGTAGCTTGTTTTTTTAGAAAATTTACCCTTCATATATTCTGGTGACATACCATTCAGTGATTTGAACGTAAGAACAGCAATTTTAAAGACTATCCTTTTATTTATTGTCAGCCTCTGAAGCTTGTTTATGATCAGTGTCATATAATCAAATCTTTCTTTCTCTTTTTCTCTCTTTCTTTTTTTCTCTCTCTCTCTCTCTTTCTCTTTCTCTCTCTCTCCGTCCATATATCTATCTCTAGTAAATTTTTTGTCTTCCAGGTATATAAGCTCGTTTACATGCATGACTGCTTATGGTATACATACATATATATATATATATATATATATATATATATATATATATATATATATATATACATATATATGTATATATATATATAATACATACGTATATATGTACACACAAACAAACATACAAACAAACATACATTATTCATGAATTCAAAAGAATGGACTTAGATTAAATATAAAACTTAAGCGCTTTGTTTGAAAATGACTGCCGAGACGTTTTCTCGTCTGCCTGTCTCCATTTCCGAATTTGAAATTTGGATACTTTTTTAATTTAATTTTTTTGTTTGAAGATTAATTTTTTTGTATAAATAATTAACATTTTGGCGGTGTATATATATAGGTATGTGATGACGTTTGCTGCTTTAACAGTTAAAAATAAAATCAATTTTAATTAAATTTTATTGATTTAATTATTTTTTAATCAAGAGATAATGTTTATATATATGAACATGTGTGTGTGTGTGTGTGTGTGTGTGTGTGTGTGTGTGTGTGTGTGTGTGATTAACAATGTATATATATATATATATATGATTGATAATATTATTTAAAAAAATTATAGTTGTTGTGAGTTTAACTGCTTTGAAGCCCTTGAAAAAAATTATATTATGATTTATTAGTGGGCAAAATATTAAAACGCCTTAAGGATCAATGAGATGATAACAAATAGCACACATTAACACAAAAGCACATACATACACACACATACAAACACACACACCCACACACACACATACATACATATACACACACACACACACACACATACATACATACATACATACATACATACATACATACATACATATATACATACATACATACATACATACATACATACATACTCACACATACATACATACTCACACATACATACAAATAAACAAACAAACAAACAAAAGTTAAGTTTGATATGACGTCCAAGAATCCTTACGCTCGTTACGAAAGGTTTGTGTTAATAAATTTTACCATTCAGCTGTTTATCAACTGATTTATTTTCAAATAATTTTAAACTAATTGATTGATTTTTTGACAAAATCTATTATCACCAATCAACTAGTCAACAAATCGAGCAGATCATTACAACCCCGCGTCAGCCAATCACATTTGATTCTCATATAAGCCTTAATTTAATCATATTCCATCAACCAATCACATCCCTAAATTAGGATAGCCCCTCCAAAACTCAGCTCTCTACCGGACATTACGTTAGCCGTCAATCAAAACACCAACGGGTCAATTCAATCCAACAACCAATCACAGTTGGCCTTTTCAAACAAGCCACTGCCATTGAACTACCTTGAACCTCTCTTGCCACCTATAAGTCAGGATGAAAAGTTCAAATTCTATGAAACGCGAGTCGCCTTCGCCGAGAAAGCCAATAGGAATATTCTAGAGGAAATTCTAAAAATCCAATTGGAGATGAAGCAACAAATAAGGAGGCAGGAAGAGCTGACCAATAATGAAAAAACCGCTCGCAAGGCTCTAGAAAGTAATGTTCTGTCAAATAGCAGCGCGATCAATGAGGCATGTTTCAAATATTTTGTGTATAAATTTAATAATTCATTCGTTCGTTCGTTCGTTCGTTCGTTCATTCATTCATTCATTCCTTTTTTCATTTATTCGTTCATTTTTCATTTATTGTTAAAATTTTTATTGTTAAAATTTAAAGTTGTTGTTATAATCTAGATTAAGAAGAGCACTCTGATAGGCTCAGAGGCTGTGACGACTCTGGTTAATCAGGTCAAAGTCATCGAACAACGAATGCTGATTGGTCAGAAAGATTTTGAGGTCAAAAGGGATGTTGACTTGAACGCGTAGGTGGAAGTTTATTAGTGTTCATTCGGTCGTTCGTTCGTTCATTCATTCATTCATCTGTTCATGCTTCTATTCATATGTCCATTCATTCACTCAGGCGTTTATTCATTCATTCATTCATTCACTCATTCATTCACTCATTCATTCATTCACTCATTCATTCAACCAGACTAAACGACCTAGCGAGCAAGACACAGAACATTTTACAATCGAAAGATCAACTTGAATCACTCGTCTACCAACAA